TTAAGTGGCTTTAAGTCTACTTGATAAATCTTCGAACTCGATTTTTTCGAAAACAAAGTCTCAAATCGGAAAAATTTTATTCTGTAGATTTCATTCTTTTTCATTTTCTTTCGAACATGTTGTTCCCATGCACTCTGTGTAAAAAGTTGAATTGTAGAATAGATTGTAAATAAAATATATAAAAAATTGAAATATATAAAGAGTTTGATTTTCCAAAAATTGAGCTTTGAATGTTAGATGCTAGATATTCGTGTATTTATGGAAAATTTAAAGTTGCGTTATAATAATTGAAGAAACACCTGTCAAACAAATTGTCATAAACTTTATATATTCACAATGTCTGCAATTCCACTCTATCCCAATTGAATCGCGTATTATAAAATTTTCTCAAAACAGAATCTGTCAGCGGATTTCGAATATTAATGTACATTCTGCTTTGAAGAAGTAAATCAACTGTCACTGCCATCATGCAAGATCTTCGAAGTACTAAACATTTCATCGAAAGAAAGAAGGAAATTCAGAAACTTGCTTGCACGTTTCGCGAAGACGAACACGCTGAAGAGAAAAATTCGTAGCTCGTTACATCGCGTACGCTCACGATCGTATTTTTTAACGACGCGACAAAGGCTTCTGAACATTCAAAATGCAGCCCTTTTTATCGCTATACTTTGAATTTTGTCAACATTTTCCCTCGATGCCGCGACGCAGTGTTCGTGAACAGTATCGCGTTGCCATCTTCGACGGTCGACAGGATCCTTTCCGCGTCGAAAAGACAATTTCCGCGACGTTTCTTCGCCGTCGTTGCCTCAAACGCGCGACGTTTTTACTTTCGGCTCGTGCTTGTTTCCCCTCTCCTTTTTTTCGAATTTAGACTTAACACGATCGTTGCAGCGTGTTTCTTTCACTGTTCTCCTTTGCAGGCTCGACACTGTGCCACACGTTACGGGCCTCAGAGATTCGCTCGCGAAGATACTTTTTTGTTGATTTTCTGATTTTAATTTCACTTTACGACAGAGAAGCGCGCTCTTTGACACTAGTCGTAATACTTTTCATGCTCTGGCATTCTATTTGCACGGCGAGCGATGTTTTGAAAGTCACTGGGGCAGTGGAAAAACACGCGTTTCATTTCGAGGCTAAGTAGTACGATAACTTTGACGAAATGAGATTGATTTGTTACACGTATACATGGAATTTTGTAAAAAAAAAAATTAGTTATAAAAGTTGAATCAAAGAAATTAGAAAGTAGGCAAGAAATAGGAAAAGATTTATAACTTTCACTCATACATTTTGCAAAAATCATTCGAATCTCTGAGAAACGCAACACTGTGAGTCCGCGGTATTACTCTGAGAATTACTCAATTGTCATTTCGACCATTTTGGTAGTTTCAGTGCTACAATTTCATTTCAACGTCATACGAAATTCAATATAAATAATTCTGCAATTGATCTCGTAATTTTGTGCCATGATTAATTCACGTTCTTCGGCGGAGAAACAGAAGAGATCCTCAGAATCCGTGTAACTTCAACCTGGATAAATAAATCAACGCGTATGAAAAATACTTAACATCGTGCAAGAAGCAGTTATATATTTTAATTAAGTCAGACGTACGAAGATTTCTGTAACTGACCGCGGAACTGCTCCACGCTTTAATAACACGGTGCAGAAATTTTCAGAAAGAGGAATTCTACCAAATGAAATTTCACCGCCGCGCGGTTAAAATTAATTGCTTCGTTCATTTCTCTTTCGACTTTCCTCTGCTCCGCTCTTGGCATCGGGAGCGAGAGAAGCGAAGACGTGCCCCCGAGGAAGCGAGCGCGAGACTTTCCTCGACAGGTCTCGAGACGATCGCACGATCAACGAAATTACAAAGCGAGCTGCATCGCGAGTCGCGTCGGTTCGATTCGATCCTTAATTTACACGGCGGTCGAGACGAAACTAATTAGAATGAACAACCGCGAAATCCAGGATGGCTACGCGAGGGGCGTCGGCGGCCAATTAAACCGGGGAGGGGGGGGGGGGAGAAAATCGAGTTAACCTCGTACTCTTATTTCTCTTCGCGCGGATATTGACTTACCTGGAGATAAAACCGCGAGATTAAATTGACTTAACTCGCTCTCCCGTTCCCGACGACTCGCGTATCTAAGCTACGTGTACATTTACATCTTTGCTGCCCTCCAGACGAACGTAATACGTTCACCCGGCTATATTCATTGAAATTTAACGCGCGCCACATTGCGCCAGCTCTCCTCTAGCCCTCTTGCATAATTCAACTAATATCGCTGATGAGATTCGACGAGCCACGGAAATGGAGAAGTTGCCGATTTTCTGACGTGCTTCTGAAGCCGGTGATTTCCAAAGCGCAAGAATGAACGCTACAGTGGACTATACGAGGATAAAAATTCTAGAACAGTCGACGAATTGTTGTAAGTTTGGTGATAAAAGAGAGACGAACGAGTTCGGTAAAAAAAAAAAAAAAAAAAAAAAATGGACGAGCACAAGCGAGCACAAGCCGATGGGTGTGGGTTTATCGAGGAAGCTTTATAGAACA